CTCTCTCTCTCTCTCTCTCTCTCTCTCTCTCTCTCTCTCTCACACACACACACACACACACACACACACACACACACACACACACACACACCCCTTGTTCATGCTTGTTAGTGATCTTCTAATTTCTTGATTTGCATCGTTGCGCAAGGAAAATGATTTTCAACGGGATTCTACTTCCTACCAGAGTACCTGCCATTCTTGTCTGTAAGGGATTCTAATTCGTATTATCCTCATAAATGACATCTTGTTCCGAGAAATACACAGGTCTGTGCCAGTTAGCCCGAGGCGAAACATAACACTGCTAGTTACTGTGGAAGGAGCTGAAGGATCAGTGGTTTTGCAGGCCTTACTACCACCTTCCCCCAGATGGATCAGAGGTTAAAAACAAGCTGTAGTCAGGTTTGTGGTAGATTACGGTGCTGTATCTCTTCCCCCAAATAGACCAGAGATCGAAAACGTCTATAGGTCTATATATAGCCAAAATCTTGACAGTTTAGGAAGTCATATGCTAATAGCATTGCAATTGTTGTCTTTTTTTTTTTTTCTTTTTTTTTCTTTTTTTTTTCAACACACCCCCGCCAGTGTTAGTGGCGCTGATAAGAGCAGACACCCCTAGCACCTGGGGAGAGGCTCCGTCTATTGGTGGGGAGGGTCACCTGCTGGAAAACGGGCCCAGTGTTCGATATAGAGATTGAATTCGGAGTATGACAGAAAAGAAAAAACAGTGTGAGAGATTCCTGCCAGCATTGATTACCCTGTCATCCAAGGAGATTGACTGAGCAGGAAGTAGGGAAGGGGGGGACCTCTTCACCTTGAAACCGGCGCCAGATACCTCCTGCTACACGCTAGTTCCTCCCTCCCCCTACCACCCCAAACCCCTTTGCTGCTCGTCCAGCGTCCCTTGGATACATCTTTTTTACGGAGAAAGTAACTGAGAAAAAGCCTGCCCGCCTTGATTACTCTGGCATCCAGAGGATGAACTGTGCAGTGCAGGGTTAGTAATTTGAGGGTCTGTCGTACCACTGCCTCTTCAGTCTGTATCAGACTGCCAGATCAGTTGTGTTCCCCTAGCGGCTACTGCCGGGAGCTGCCATGTACTGTCTGTCACCCCATGGTCCTTGTCGGAGACCCTTCTCACTCCGCACCGTACCATTGCATGTCAACCATCGCCAGCTGGTGGGGTGGAAAAGGGTCGGGAAAATCTGTGGCTGGCCGCAGCGGGATCTCCTGTCCCACCGTAGTCCAATCTCTGAAGCGAATAGAGTAGTCTCTCCTGAACTCGTCCTGGTTGCTTTCCTGCTCGAGCTTGCCATCCCGACAAACGAATGCAATCCAGGCCCCGTTCTTGCTGCCCAACCAGTCCCCCGCAAATTGCTGAATAGCCTGTGTTATGTCCTTTGATGCATGGAACAGCTCAAGTTGGTTTTTAACTTGTTGCCATTGTATCCTGAGTTCTTGTTGGATGTATTGTTTTATCATGTCTATTACCTCTTCCCCTTCTATGCGAACCCCCTCTAGTGCATGGGTACAACGTTTTCTCCAGAGGGCCCACATGACAGCTATCCTCCCTAACTTGAGCATATTGTTTTCAAAAGTATTGTCGGTGGGGGAGGTCCATGCCTCGCATAATATCGCTCTCCGGTCCCATGGCCAGTTGGAGCCGGTGGCCAACCGTGTCCAGATTATATCCCACCACTGCCATGTAGGCACGGCTCCTGGGCACTGCATGAAAATATGCTCTATGGTGTCCGGAATTCTGCGGGAAGGGAAGGTGGAGTGACACGACTTGCACCATTGCAGCGCCTGTCCCTTCTGCTCCAGATATGTATGATTGATCAGCCAATCATTGGTGGGCAGGCAGCGATGTTCTATCTGCCATTGTAATGAAGCCGTCTTCGTCGGTCTGGACCTCGTGGCGGTGAACCATCGAATGGGGCGGATTGCCTCTGATCCTGCATTCAAATGAGACCTCCATCGGGCCTTCACTGTTTCTTTTATGTTCACCTTTGGTAGCAGCAACCGATAGGCAGCCTCTACTGTTAGGGTATGCAGCTTGAGGTTCTCCCCCGACCTGCGTTTTTGTAGTGGGGACCATTGCCATTCCTCGGGCTCGAAGGGGAGCTCAGCCACGGGGGTGTCCGGTTGATATATGATCCGCGCGTCTTTATCCTGCAGCACACAGATTCTGTGCAGGTCAGAGTTTCTCCACCATCTCACTAAGTTTGGGGTGTATTAGGTGAGCACGTTGTCCTTATCAATGTAAAAGAGATTGGTCAAGGTTTCATCAGCTCGCACCTCCACCATGTTGCCTACACTCTCCGGATCACCTGGGGCTGTTACCCAGTCCCCT